AATGGAAAACGTCCGCGAGAAGATCAATCTCCTCAGTAAGATTGGGATTTACCGCCGCGAGAGTAAGAGACAACTGGGCTTACAGTTCTTTGGTTTCGGCTCAGAAGCTGCTGTCTACGTCAACGAGCAGTTTTTAAGAGAGAACTATATAATATTCAAAGAGGCCATGCGAATGAAGAAGCACAAAATTCTAGCAGCTGTCTTTACTCGGCGCGGCCTCGTGCATGTACGATCCTATGATACAGAGAGCGTTCAATGCATTGAGCGTATGGATGAGCTTTTGTCGCTCGCACCATCTAATGAGCCCGCACAGTCTCTCCCCCTCTCTTCGACTGCCTCCCCCACTCGCGCCTCGGTTGGATCGGAAGAAGCAGCAGCAAATAGCTTTCGCTCTTAATAACTTACATACTGCTCTCTTAATCTTATCAGTTAGGTTATTGTTTTTATTATTTTTTTTTCACAGTTCTTACACACAGTTAGTTTATTGTTTTTCAAATATCGAGTTGCGCCCCTAATAAGTTCTCACTTTAATAATGAATGGTGAGATAGGTAGTATGATTAAAATAATTAGTAACCATAGAAATGGTCTCAAAGTTGTACACATAAATGCACAAAGTTTGTTAAGGAAAATCGATGAGTTTAGATTTCTCTTTACTCAGTCAAATGTAGATGTTATATGTGTATCTGAGACGTGGTTTAACTCTGATCTATGTGATTTGTCAATTGTGTGTGATGGTTATGTTGTTTTTCGTTCGGAACGTATTGGGCATGCAGGTGGCGTTGCTATATATGTTAATACAAAATTAAAATGTAATGTTAAGTGTACACAACCTACTGAATGTCCTATTGAATATCTCTTCTTGGAAATCGCGAGCAAAATGAACAAGAAAATTTTATTAGGCTGTATTTATCGACCCAATTGTACAATCGACTATGAGCCACTTTTAAATATTATCTCGGACATCTCGGTGTTATACACTGACATTATACTTGCAGGTGATCTCAATAGCAATCTCTTGAAAGAGAGTCATCTATTGGATAACTTTGCCTCCCTGGGCTTGTACGCTGTTAATACAACATTGCCTACACATTTCAGCAATACCTGTGATACACTTCTTGACATTTTCTTCACTAATGACCATATCAAGACCCTATTATATGACCAGGTATCAATACCAGCATTCTCTAAACATGACCTTATCTTCCTGACATATGACTTGACTTTGGATTCCTTTACTTATAGAGATTTTAAAAATATTGACTATAATGAACTTTACCTAGAATTTACTGCGTGTGACTGGGCTTCCATTTACCTTTCTCCCTTTGTTGACTGTCAATTGAGTGTTTTGAACAACAATATTCAGTACTTGTTCAACAAATTTATACCATTAAAAACCAAAGTCACCAAACCAAGACAAAATCCATGGTTTAACAACGACATAAAAAAAATAACGCATCAGCGAGATGTTGCCTACAGTAAATGGAAGCGGTATAAAACGGACTACTTCCGTTTAAGGTACAAAGAGTTAAGAGCAAATGCTAACAAAAGTATAAGATCTGCTAAGCGTAGTTACTATAAATCTAAGTTCCAAAATTGCTCTACCATTAAGCAAAGATGGAAAGAAAGAATAGTATAGGATAGGCAAATGTAAACAGAAGACTGAGCTGGACATAAATGTCGAAGAACTTAACAAAAAGTTCTCGATAATTGATGTACCTGAAGCGACAAGTAACACGTACCTGAATAGCGTTCCACTTGGTGATAATAGTTTTAGCTTTGTGTGTGTCAATCAATGTGATGTCCTCGAGAGCATACTTAAGGTGAAGTCTAACGCCGAAGGTCTCGATAACATCAGCCCGAAATTTGTGAAAATCTTACTTCCTAAGATTTTGTCTCACATCACTTATATCTTCAACACGGCTATAACTACGTCCTCGTTTCCAACGGAATGGAAAAAAGCGAAAATTTTACCGATCCGAAAACCCAACAACGACTTTAGGCCCATTTCAATACTTCCGTTCCTGTCAAAAGCTCTAGAAAATCTCATGTCCTTACAGATTGAACACTACCTGACTAACTACTCGTTATTAAACAACAAGCAGTCAGGTTTTCGAAAAAAAAAGAAGTTGTATAAGCGCTGTAACGGATATCGTCGAAGATATTCAGCAACTCGATAAGAACTGGGTTACGTTTTTAACACTTCTCGACCGCAGTAAGGCGTTCGACTCAGTCAACCATAATATTCTCTGCACAAAACTGACCAAATTATTCAACTTCTCAGGGACTGCGGTCAATTTTGTAAAATCGTACCTAACAAATAGATTGCAGACAGTTGTATCCGGTACATATGCTTCCACTTTTAGGGTTCTTACACGGGGAGTCCCTCAGGGATCAGTACTAGGCCCCTTACTGTTTTCCATATATGTTAATGATCTACCCAGTGTCTTGTCTGACTGTGAAGTACTGTGACGTCATCAGCACGTCCAAATTTATGTTAGTAGTCCCGTTAATGAAATAAATCTATGTGTCAACATGTCCAACAAAATGCTTTCCCTAATTGAGAAACGGGCAAAAGAGAATGGCCTGGGAATAAATCCAAGAAAATCAAAATGTATTGTAATTGCCAAAAAACGGATTGATACAAAAAATCTCGTAAATGTACACATAGGCAATACACCTATTTCCTACGAAGATTGTGCAGTTAATCTGGGGATAACATTCAGTAGCACTATATCATGGAGTAAACATATTTCAAAGGCAACTGGACGTACATATGGTCTGTTGCGTCAGCTCTCAGAATCTAAAACTTTTTTGCCAGAAGAAATAAGAGTATTAATTGCTAAAGTCATTCTCATCCCCACTCTCTTTTATGGTGTAGAGATTTTTGGTCATTGTGACGCTCGTGACTTGCACACATTAGTAGTATGCTTTAATTCAATTGTCCGTTATGCTTTTAATTTAAGTCGTTTTGACCATGTTTCCCACCTGACTCGTAAAATACTTGACCTCAACTTGACCCCATGGATAGATTTTAGAACCTTAGTATACTTTCATAAAATTGTGACCACCCAAGAACCGATTTACCTTTACTGCAAACTTAACCCCCGCTACATCACAAAGAACTAACAATTACATTTGTCCTCGAATTCAAACGCTTTGCTCGAAGAGGCAGTTCTTCATTAATGCTATTCGCTTAGGGAACAATCTTCCCCATAGCATTAAAACCATTAGGAGCGCAACTCAATTTTACTTTAAAGTCAAAAAACATTTCGGTAATCAATAAAATTAAATTAACATATTCATTAAAAAAAAAAAAAAAATAAATAAAAATAATAGAAAAACAAATAAAATAGTATAATAAATAATTAAAATTTAAAAAGTAATCAAAATTTTGTAAAAACAATTATAAGTGTAAGCTTTTCAAAAATGTTAAATGTATCTATTAGATTTAAGTAAATAACTTTCCACAAGGATGCGTAAGGTGACTAGCGCATTAAACATAAGTGTAAACTTGTAGCGCTAGGATAATGCATGAAATAAACATAGCGGCAGCGTTAGCAGAAAGACCAACGTCACTAGCGGGAAGATGATCGCAAAGAGTAACACGAGCAATAGACGACAAGAACCGAGCCCAGCAAGCGAACAGCTATGTACGAACTGTATATACAAAGGCGACCGGTGTAAGAAACGTTTCTTGCGGGAAGATGACCGAAAAGAGAAGCGCAAGCCAACAGCTACGTGCACTACCGAATATGCAGGAGGCCGGTGTATATATGAATAGATAACTTATGTGGTCGATGACACTGGTTGAGATGGCAAATAGTTTAGATCTTTGAATGCTATATTAGTTTGTGATTGCACCACGTCGGGGTCACCAAATGTTAAGCTATTAAGCGTTTTTAATAACTGTTGCAATTTGAAGTTAATGAAAGTCGAGAGGCTGTTTATAATTCACAATTTATTTGCATATGTAAACCAACTTATCGCGTATGTACATATGGGGATGATTGGGCGAACGATTGATGCGAGGATGTTAATCTAATAGCTGCGACGATTAGCTCAAGACTGCCCATGCAAGGGCTGACGGGCCAATCTGCCGGGCCCTATCCAGCAAGCTTAGACGCGAGCGAGCGCGTATGATAGCCCGAGAGCGTTAGAGCTGCTCGGGGATGCTGTTAAGCCGAGTCCGAGAGATTGCGACATAAGGAGACGAAAGAATTCCGCTGCATGCGCATATGCGGTAGCAAATGATCTTTGTAGTGGGGGCATTGGAAACGACAACACCAAAATGCATTTCCTTTGGGCCGCACCACTGGCAATAATTTAAAATATTTAAGCTGCTTGACCCGACAAACGAAATGGACGACGTTTCACAGGATTTTTGATTCGTGTCGATAAACCTAAAGATATATATATATATGGGTATACCTGGAGATATAACGAACCAAAATTGAAGTTTTATACCAGTTTTAGTGTTTCTTCAACTTTGAAATTTTCAAACAATTTTGTTGTATGGTATGATTCTATATTAAGAAATTATTTTTTTATTGGCATTAATTCTTAACAACTAGCTACTAACTAATAATTAGAAGTTATAGGATAATTTTTAACCAATTCAATAAATAATTACCAGTAAACACCCAAACGGTGCGCATCCCTAATGCAGAACCATTGAGGCTTCAACTGGCGATGTCGACATTTATCAAGTTTGTCAGGGATATAACGTATTATTTCCTAGTTATAGTGAACTCATGGCATAACCACTTTGCAAACTCAAATTTTACAGTTCTGTATTCTGTAATTCTGTATGTTGCTGTACCAATTTACAACGAACGAGTAAACATGCTTCCCAAGTGGGCTGTAGCCTTAGTTAGCGTACTGGTGTTGGCGTTGGTGTCTTCGCCGGTGATATACCTATAGTCGAACATTTTATCGCATTTCTGATCTCTCTCCCTCAATCCTAACCGTAACGTATAAAAAACTTTTTTTTGCATGAACGTTAGTTTTATTAATCGCAAGCACTTTTTTTATTTACCGCACAAGTCTAGTTGTATCCCGTAGGACTATATTTATTTCTAATACAAAGTAACGTCTTAAGCTTAAAGGATAAAATTTTATATAAGAGCCGGTTTAATGGACCAAAAATAAGTATGTAAATAGTTAAACTTTACTTTCTTTTCTTATACAGAAAAATTAGGTATACATGTAACATATATGCCGCACAAAATTGATGTTCCGAAGCATGCATGAAAATTCTTGTCAAATTTCAAGTTGACAGGATGGATTTCACTTTTCTTCCACTGCCGAGATGTGATCAGGAAGTTCACTGTTCGCAAATTTTTCCCACATTCGAGAAAACAATTGTTCTAAGCCTTTGGCATACTGCGTGCAATCAAATAATGGACTATCAACGCGTGCTTTCCATACTTTTGCCCGTTGAGCTTTTAAATATTCTCTTTGTGTTCCTAGACGAATAGCAATATCTTGATATTCGTCCCTAGTACGTGCTATTAACTCGGGACATCCAAGTGTTACCAGTTGAGAGGCAGCCACTCTGCAATTATATAAACAAAAATTTTATTTTAACAAATCGGAACGTAATGTTGCATGTTTAATGTTTAAATGTTTTGTACAATCTCTACATTGCCGCCATGATTTATAAATTGTTGATAATTACGATTATGATTATAATCATCGATTATAATTGAAGAAAAACGCTAAAATCAACCAAGGCATTTTTATTATACTATAACTTAAAATGATTACGGTCCCTGATTATTATTGAATTTATTTATTTTCGAATGAATGTCTTCAGCATCCACTCTTCAATACCGAAAAATTATGGGCATAACCTTGAGGGTTACTGATTCTTAAATTTTCCACCAAAGACTACAAATCTGACACCAACTTTCTGTTACACTATATTTTAGACAATATTGAACTTAAAAACATTTTCAAAATAGATTTATTTATATTTATTTACTTTAGTACCGACAATAGACTCACCTTGAAGCTAGTGTTTCTCCTGGTAAAGTGACAACCGGAGTTCCTGTCCACAATACATCCATTGATGTAGTATGACCATTACATAATGGAGTGTCGAGACATATGTCAGCTAATTGCCCTCGCCGTACATGTTCTTCTTTAGCAGCTACATTTGAAAAAATTACTCTATCAGGAGATATTCCTGAAATTTTGTATAGTTAAAATTGGTCAGTGACATTTCTAAACATGAACATATGTATGTAGGTATAAAACAGAAAGCTTACCTAAGTCACTGACAGTTTTTTTTATATTTTGTTCGCCAACTGCAGGAAACCTTAATAGCCATAAAACCGATTTAGGCACATTTTTTAAAATTTCTACCCAAGACTCAAGCGTTTGTGGGTCTATTTTATAAAGTTGGTTAAAATTGCAGTAAACAATAGCGTCATCGGGTAACATATACTGCCGACGTGTTGTTATAACAATATTTTGCGGCACTTCTTCTCCGGTTGCGGCTTTATTGTTTGTTTGTGTAGTCGCTAAGCCGTTTTGAACAACCACACCATTTAGAGATGTTTGAACTTGCCCAGAAGCAATCATGGATACTATTTGGGTGGAACTTGGCAGTTCAGCGACCTTATGCGTTATTTCGACGGGCTTTTGCGCATTAACTACTTCTTTTATCACTTTTACACCTGTATTTTCCACCAGAGGCGATAAGTCAGTTGCATTAATAACAGCAACGTTATCTGCAACAGAAGATTGTTGTTTGTCACACACAATAATACGTTCCTTTAAATGAGGGAACATTTGCTTATGATCGCCAATAAAATATGTAAAAGGCATATATGACAACTTTTCACTGTATTGGTACGCCAAATCCAGTGGGCTAGTTATAGCATCAGTAATAATATAATCCATGAAACTGGCACCACTAGTGCCTGGATACCCTAACCACATAACTTGAATTGGAGCAGGTCGAAGGGCAAATATTTCGTTTCTTGCTCCTTTTGTGTAACCATTCATATTTACCAAAATATGTATTCCATCATTATATATTTTATCAGCTGCTTTTCCATTGCAAGGAATTTGTGAAAGATCGACAAAGTGCTCAGCTTCACGGCTTATTTTGTAACGAAAAGTTGTTCCATCATCAGAGCTTAGGGCATAGCAGAAAATTTCGACTTTTGAACGATCATGTAGTCCTGGTACAGACTGCATTAGATGAGAGGTGGGATGATTTCCAAAATCAGAACTTAAGTAGCCAATACGTAACCTTCCATTGATTGGCAAATTTCTTACAAAATTATACTGTTGTTTATGCAGTACGTGAACTTTTTCCAAACACAAATTAGCGTGCCGTGCTGCAATGGCTTTCCGAAACTCATGCGTCAAGGGGTAAAGCATAGAATGGTGTGGATGTACAGATGGTAATCGGTTCTTTTCGAGCTGTTCAGCAACGATGCTAACTAACTTTTTCATTCGTACGTCATAGTCAGTCCAGTCACAAACAATCTGCAAGCAATGTGCCAAATTACAATATGCATCGGGAAAGTCGGGTTTTAATTTAAGGGCTGTACGGTAGGATTGAATTGCTTCTGGAATATTTCCTGAATCTTTATGGATGCTCGCCAAATTACTGTGGGCATCAGCAAAGGCCGGGTTAATTTGAATGGCTCGAGTGTAGCATTGCAGTGCCCCACTAACGTCTTGTAATTCCTTAAGTGTGTTTCCCATATTTGAATATGCATCAGCAAAAGTGGGCTGGATTCGAATAGCCTCTTTGTAATGCATTAATGCTTCCTTTAGTTTCCCTTGTTGTTGCAAAACAGATGCTAGGTTTGAATGGGCAGCAGCAAAATCTGGAAAAACTTCCAACGCTTTCAGGTAAAGGCGTGTAGCCTCTTCAATAAATCCTTGTTCTCGTTTTATGTTCGCCAAATTGTTTAGAGAATCTGCATGATTTGAGCATAATCTTAGGGCAGTGTTATAGCAATCTTCAGCTTCTTTGACCTAAAGTACAGAAAATATAAATATACAAAGTAATTGAATCAAAATAAATAATTTAACGAAAAAATCAAAATATATACGGAATATACCTGTCCTTTCTCTTTGAGAGCGTTTGCAAGATTACAATATGCATCGGGGAAATTTGGCTGCAATTCTATTGCGCGCCTATACGTGTCGATGGCCAAATCAATAAGGCCTTGTTCATAATAAACACATGCCAAATTTCCATGGACTACAGCATTATTCGGCGATAGGTTTAAAGCACGCAAATAAGCAGCTACAGCTCTGAAATAATTATCGATATGTATGTTCAGTATACAATTCTCTACAGTATATTTAGAATTAAAATTTAAAAAATTGAGAGTGAAAATTATATAATATTTACCGTCTCCAAAAAAACAGCAATTGTAAAAAAATTGTACGGAAACATTTTTTTTTTGGGTTTAAGTACTTCTTGTTCTTGCTTTGATTTTGGCAGGTTATTGGGACTATTGTATAAATAACAACGCACTGACAATCCATTATCCTTATGTTTTATGAACTAGGATATACAATTTGGTTTTCAAGCACATTTAATATTAAGTATTTCGTGTAAATACATAAATTTACAAATTAGGATTCGGGTTTTTTTGGTGGATTTTTTACTTTGCTTTTTGTGTGCTCTTCAACCGAGCATGTGTACACATACTCATCACCTTCAATGACGTAAATAAACGCAAACGTGCATATATTTGTGTATATGGATATATATGTATGTGTTTGTATGCATGAGTATACCAAAAAATCTTCACATTAATATATACGACATGGAACTGAGAATATGGCACGTCAGCTCTTACATAGATGGGTTTTAGATATTAAGTGTTATTTTCAACCAATCTTTTTTATATAGTTGGAGATATGTAGAAATTAAATGTTTGTTGCCCACATACATACAACGAGTATATATAGTTTAAAGGGAGCAATAAATAGAGAACACAGACCCAGAAAAAACGAGGGGGAACGTTGTGAGTTGCTGCGGACACCGCAACTCTACAGTTATACCCGATACTAAGTCAGTATGGCTCTCCTCCGGCAGCGCCGCTAATATTAAACGACACGACAAAGAGTGCGTGCGAGAGAGACAGAAAATCAGTTTGAGCGTGACGTCGGGCGCTGCGTAGCCACTGCAAATTGATTTGTTCCTTTTGGCTACAAAAATTATCTGATCTGATCCAGATTCAGCAATCTGATAGATATGGTCGTTATCTATGATTCTGCGTTTTTAGTTTTCTCGAATCTGCAATATTGTGGATGCAACAGATTTTCGTCCTTTGTGTGGGCGGAAGGGGGTGGGGCGAAATTTTGAGATACACGTTTTATAGTGAGATCTAAGAGAAGTGCGGATTCCAAATTTGGTTACTCTAGCGTTAATAGTCTTTGAGATTTGTGAATATCCCCAGATTTGCATCCTTTGCGGGGGCGGAAGGGGGTGTGGCGAAATTTTGAAACAAACTCGTCTCGGTCTGATATATTAGGAGTGTGGATACCAAATTTGGTTGCTCTAGCTTTTATAGTCTCTGAGATCTAGGCGCTAATGTTTTACTCTAAGCAAAGCCGCCTATGCTACCTGTGTGTTAGAGAGAGACAGGGCGAGAAAAAATGAAATTGTTTTCTAGATGCTGGCTATAATAGTAATACGATCCAATTCAGATTCTGCAGTCTAAAAGATATGGTCATTCTCTACGATTCTGCGTTTTTTGTTTTCTCGTATCTTTAAAATTGTGGATGCCACAGATTTTCGGCCGGCCGAAGTGGGCGGGGCAAAGTTTTGAAATATTTTTGTAGCAGTGACATATCACAGAAGTCTGGATCCAAAACATCGTTGCTCTAGCTCTTATAGTCTTTGAGCATTAGGCGCTGAAGGGGACGGACGGACAGACGGACGGACGGACAGACGGACAGACAGACATGGCTCAATCGACTCGGCTATTGATGCTGATCAAGAATATATATACTTTATGGGGTCGGAAACGATTCCTTCTGGACGTTACACACATCCACTTTTACCACAAATCTAATATACCCCAATACTCATTTTGAGTATCGGGTATAAAAATTAGGCGGTCTAAAGTTTATAAGTGCACCCAGCGACCAAAAAAAATCCGCATTCTGAAATTTCATGCATTTGTGACTTTTTTAGTCGGCGGTTTATGCAATGTTATCTTATTCGTCTAATTGTTAATTTTTGTTATCGCTAAATTAATTTCAAACAAATGTACGTATTAATTTGTTTTTATATCTTAGTTATAGCCATGGAAAAAATAATTTGACATTTCATATATTTTCCGTATTTTTTAAAAATTTTTTTGGTGAATATTTTTTTTTTTTTGTAAGTTTTATAATTTTTTTGTATACAGTAATGTGTCAAAATATAACAAACCAACTTTTTTTATAATTAGGATTGTGTTTTGTATTTTTAATTATAAAATAATATCACTGATACAAATTATGTTGTTTGCTGTTACTGTTAGAGGAACTTATACAACAGTCATATTACGATGATTTAAAAAAAAACAGAAATAAAAAAATGCGTGTCATCAAGATCAAAGATTTTGGATGATGATTATTTGGTTCAATTATCTGTCTAGATTCAGAGGTCCTCTTAGATCGCCCTATTGGACAGGTCGACTGGGTGTATTCTGGCCAGCTTACGCCGTTATCTGGATCTCGCAAGACGCCTCGCCAGTATATTAGGGTGGCTTATGAGCTTCTGACGTCGGGCGCTGCATAGCCACTGCAAATTGATTTGTTACTTTTGGCTATAACAGATCGAACAGGAGTATGGATTCAAAATTTGGTTACTCCAGCTCTAATAGTCTTTGCGATCTGTGGATGCCAAAGATTTTCGTCCTTTGCGGGGGCGGAAAGGGGTGGGCTGAAATTTTGAAATATACTTGTCAAGGTTCGATATCACAGGAGTGTGGATACCAAATTTGGTTGCTCTAGCTCTTATAGTCTTTGAGATCTAGGAACTCACTTTTTGCGAAAGGCAATATATTCTGCGTTTTTACTCGAAGGCGGGGCGGGGCGAAGTTTTGAAATACACTTGTAACAGTGACATATCACAGAAGTCTGGATCCAAAACATCGTTGCTCTAGCTCTTATAGTCTTTGAGCACTAGGCGCTGATAGTGACGGACAGACGGCCGGACGGACAGACATACAGGGCTCAATCGACTCGGCTATTGATGCTGATCAAGTATATACTCTATGGGGTCGGAAACGATTCCTTCTGGACGTTACACACATCTAATTTACCACAAATCTAATTTACCAATACTCATTTTGAGTATCGGGTAAAAAAAATCAAATAAGCATTTACAGAGCGCTCCCAATTTCAAGGTGCAGAATCGACCTGAAAAATGAGTTCTCTCTCAGTAACGGATTCCATTGTAGGCACAATTCCAGTGAGAATAATCTTTTTATGCTGCTGTATTTTATGCTAAGCTGCATTATTAAAAGGTATTCATTTGTATATTTAGGTTGCATTGGTGTCAATGCAGCAATGCAAGGGGAAACGTTGTGAGACGCGGCAAAGACTGCGGTTCTACTTTATGTCCGGTAGTCAGGCAATATGGCTCCTCTCCGATAGATGGCGCACACTGCGCATTGAGAGTGAGAGAATGAGTAAGCGCTTGGCTGGGGTTGCGTAGTCACTGGTACCACTGGGACTACCACGTCAATCTGGTAGATATGGTTATTCTCTATAATGCTGCGTTTTTAGTTTTCTCGTATCTTGAAAATTTTGTATGCCGAAATTTGGAAATACACTTGTAACAGTGGGATATCACAGGAGATTGGTTAAAAAATTTAGTTTCTAGCTCTTATAGTCTTTGACATCTCATCGGGACGGACAGACAGACAGATTGGCTATATCGACTCGTATGAATTCATATAGATGCATGCATACTGCCACTCAAAATAATTTCGAGTTGATTAGGAGTTGATAATAGTCGTCACATTGCATATAAATGTATACTTACACGTCACAAACGTACCCATTTCCTAATAAATGTCACCGAAAATACAGCAATAGCTGAAGCCACAAATCATTGAAGTGTTTCAATGCACTGTGATTACAAATCCACTTTACAAAATTTGTAGGCATTGATGTGTATTATTTTTGTATTAAACATATTGGGGAATACCCTAGTTAAAAAAGAAACACAAAGTTTTTCAATCTCCAACACTCTTCTATACGTGTCAGCGCGCTGACATGAGTTACCTATGGATGGTTGAGTAAACTCAATAATGGAGAATTGCTTTTTAAAATTTCTCAAAGTTCATTTATTGAGTTGAATAGCTAATACGTGAATGTTTCCAAAAAGATTTTATAAATCAAGAAAATTATTAAAATGGTTGATCTAATTATAAAATTAGTTTGAAGTATTTTTGTAAGCGTTATATGTATATTTAATTATTTTCATTCATTCATTATTTGGTTTTATTAAATGCTTGCTTTTGTTGTTATCGTGTGAACGATAACGAGAATATGGTTGAAATATTTGAACAATTTAACAAACGAAACTAAAACGTAACCATAAGTCAACTTTCTGCCACCCCTAGGTAACAAAACAAAAATCAGCTAAGTTAATTGACTGCTTATTTTAAGTTAGTTGTTTTTCCGCGAGATTGATTAAGAGCCGGTTTCTCAATTTCGAATTAAAATGCCAGTTGGTTGCCTCTCCAAAGAAGTTGACGAACAGATAAACGTGTCTAAAAAAAAAACAATTCTCGAGGTCGTGGTAATTTGTGGAAACGAAAAAGAATAATGGGTTTAAGCGCACAAATGTGCTGTACAGTGGAAAACTCAGTATAACCTTTGCAAGGAAATGTAGCTATCGACAAAACGGTACCAGATTCCCCGGAGAAAACCATGGACTCGAGATTTGAAAATCTCACTATCACAGGGGTAATGAATGGAATCGAATGATTGACTTTGGATACAGGTGCTTCACATTCAATAACACTAATGATTGGTTATTTTTGTTCACGGTTTAATCAGATTGTGATTATTTTTTTTTTTCAAATTACTTAAGTATCTTACATCTCCGGTCGTCTTATGTCTATTTTTAATGTATCTTTTCCTAGTGTCGTAAAGTTTTTTTTCTCGATTTAAAATATAAACGAGGGGGAACGTTTTGAGTTGCTGCGGAGACCGCAACTCTACATTTATACCCGATAAATAGTCAGTATGGCTACATTGAGCGACAATTTGTGCGTGCGGGAGAGACAGAAAACGTGTCTGAACATGTCGTAGAACATGTGTAGCCACTGCAAGTTATATAAAAATGGCTATAATGACTTTACAAATTATCCGATCTGATCTAGATTCAGCAATCTCATAGATACGGTCATTCTCTATTATTTTTCCTTTTTTGGTTTTCTCATATCTTTAAAATTGTGGATGCCACAGATGTTCGTCCTTTGTGGGGGCGGAAGTGGGCGGGGCAAAGTTTTGAAATATTTTTGTAGCAGTGACATATCACAGAGGTCTGGATCCAAAACATCGTTGCTCTAGCTCTTATAGTCTTTGAGCACTAGGCGCTGAAGGGGACGGACAGACGGACGGACGGACAGACAGACATGGCGAATCGACTCGGCTGTTGATGCTGATCAAGAATATATATACTTTATAGGGTCGGAAACGATTCCTTCTGGACGTTAGACACCGTTTTCACCACAAATCTAATATACCCAATACTCATTTTGAGTATCGGGTATACAAAATTAAATGAAATGGTGCATGTGTCAGCGTTGTCATTAAAGCTCTTTAATTGAAATTCCATTTTTTTTAGAATTTACAAGCGGGGAGTTTTATGGATCGTATTGCGTTAGTCAATTCTAATGATCTTTGCACGTTTTAGTAGAATGTTCCTAACCTTCTTGTATTCACTTGGGTGGGAATGTTAGTAAAAAAAACTCACTAAAAATACTAGGGTGTACAAAATAGCTATATGTATTCTGTTTTTTTTATCGCAGTTTAGTTTGGTTGTACATACCAATACACTAATTAAAAATTCTTATCCTATGACTATTTACTATTATCAAGAGCATACTAACCTATCAAATATCCTGGCCTCCTTAAGAACGTTTCCCAAATTTATATATGCGTCTAAAAAGTTTGGATCGAGTGTTACCGCCTTTTCAAAGTGATGTATAGCTAACCAAATCTCTCCTTGTGCATTAAAAACACAGCCCAAATTACTCCATGCAACTGCGAATCCAGGGCAGGTTTCAATTGCCTTTAAGTAGCAAGCCTATCATGAAATAATACATTACAAATTACATATACATATTACACATAATTAGATTTGATGTTAATACATACTTTAGCTTCTTCCAAGCGACCAAGAGCCTTGAGAAGATTTCCCAGATCACTGCGCACACAATACAATTCCTACAAAAAATTCTGTTAGAGTTAAAAATAATAAATAATATCAGTAAAAACTTGCTGGGTTATATTGTAATGCTGTTATATACGCTTGTACTGCAGATTCCATATCTCGAGCAGCCACTAATGCAGCAGCTAAATTAATGTATCCGTCTATAAAGTCAGGCTTAAGACGTACGGCTCGGCGATAGTTATCTAAAGCTTCCTGCAGTTGCCCTCGTTCCTTGTAAACGTTTCCTAAGTTACTAAAACAAATTCAAATATGTTTAGATATTTATAAAACCAATTTTTGAATACAGTTCAAAATCTAAACATTAATAATCGAATTTTCGATATGTTTATGTTTTGAAGAATCATATCAATCTAGAACTAAAACGAGTGAGAATGTTGTGAGTCCAGCCAAAGGCACTGCTCTTTAAACTAAGTAAGTCCATGTTACGTTGAGTTTGGACCATTGCACAGTGGGCGAAACGGCCAATCTAGTGACATTAAATTAGTAACAAGCGTAATTTAAGATATATCTTAATGAAATTTTTAGTTTAACATGATTGTTAATAGCCGGATGACTGTACAAAATTTCAGTAGAATCGGTCAACTATATCGAATATCGATAGTTCCGATCCTTCAAAATATTTAAAGAATTTAAAATACCATTCCAAACATAGTTTGCCAGTGTAACTTATGTAATTTTAAATTTATTTAATCTAAAATTTTGGAAACTAAAAAGTCTTTATGCATTAAATCTTCCATCGTATTTTTAAGTGAAAACTTTCGGGTTAGAGCACTTTACTTTTGCGTTTCTCAATAAATCGTTGCTTGGAAAAATATTTGCGTTGTGAAATTTAGTTTTCGTTTTTACTAGCTCGTATGAATTTTTCGTGATTTTTTTTTCTACATTAATCGCCAAAGCTTCCTCAGGACTGAATTTAATAGGAAGTTTGGGATCACTGCTAGCACATTTTATTGTTTTTGCCACGACCTCTTCATCTGAATTGAGCAATGATATAACTTTAGAAGCATTTCCTCCCCACCTTTGTACAAGCTTAAAGTGCCGCCAACATGGGCTCCTCCTTCGATGATTTGTTTGCAAGAGATTAAGCTTTGTTTAATTTTTTTTTTAATAAACAAATTTTTAATAAGAAATTTGTTAAAATCTATGGAATAATGAAGAAAGAACATTATCTTGATATTTAGGAACCCATTTTGTCAAATTTTATAGACAAATGTGTCTTCCCCATATCTGAGATCACTATCCAGCAAGACGGTAGCCCGACGCACACGGCTAAATTCGTGAAAAATCGTCCCAATAATTCGAGTTTTCACTTAATCCAGTGGACTGCTCAATAGCCCAGATCTAAATCCCATTGAAAATCGATGGGCTCTGTTTAAAAAACATTGGAAAAGTACGAGTTTGCACCAAAGGGATTGGGTTAGTCTTTGGGAGCGCATGAAGTCGGAGTGGCGCATGATACCTTGCCAGCACCTACTAAATTTAGTCGCGAGTATGCCAATACTTATTCAGAATATGATAAAAGCCCTTGGGAACAAATAATTTAAAAAAATTATTAAAGTAAAAAAATTTAAAACGTGCAAAAGTGTATACATGCTAATTTTTTTAACAAATCTCTCAAGGAAAAGGATCTTTTTGAATTGAAATTATTGTCTTTTTTCATTTTCACTACATTAAAGAATCATTGAAAAAAAATCACGACGATTGATTCATTTTTAAAGATTTTACAGGCGCTTAAAGTGAAAAGTGATAAACATGTATCCACATGTGCTCGTCACTGTACATCTTTCTCCGGTCGCACCCTTTATATACAGTCGCCATCTAACCACTGCTTGTTATACTTTTCAAAATGTGACAATGTTCTATTACATTTCTACCATTTTTGCAGCAACGCGCTTAAAAATATTTGTATCCTTCTTTGCATTTCTTTGTGTTGTTCTTGGGAATAATCATTATTATTAAACTCATTTGAAAATATGTAATTTTCAACCGCAACAGACTTTTTGGCAGCGACCTTTTCGTTGTACCCAACTGAAAATAATGGTTCGTCTTGGGATGGTCATTTTCTAAAAATTAAATTACTATTAATTTCGACACCCATATGCAGATAATTTTGGGCATCCAAATTCACAATAAATTTTAGAATGTGTATCAAAAACAATTGAAACCAGATTGCAGCCGTCTCACAAGGTGAACTCCACCAAACAATGCAACATTTTTTAAGCAAAACTTTTCCAAAGGTTAACTTCTACAGATATTTTAAACATGAAATTAAATTAATTAATTAATTAATTAAAAAGCTTCCAAGTCTATATATTGATAGTTCAGAATAAATTTTAGCTACGCTTTGACTTTTTACTTTTTGCACAAATTTTTTGCCAGCTTAACAAAAAAGGAGCCAAAAGTTGTTCATAACAGCTCTTTCAGCATATGTTAGGTTTGACCCTTCCCAGCTTGACGAAATATGAGAGAAAAACAAAATGGCAATTACTTTCATACTCAGTAAGGTATTGAGAACCGATACCACACAAAAGTTTCAACAGACTCTGCCATGAAATTCTGAATTAAATGGAGGTAGGTAGATTGACCATTTCGCCAACTGTGTATTGGTGCACTTGGTGAAATTTTTTTTTTGTATGTGAAAAAGAGACGTTAATTAATGTCTAATGAATGTATATATATTTATTTATTAAATTAACAATTATCTGTTAATAATGGTACTTAGTTACTAAAGGCGGAAAAAGATAAGTTAAAAGTTAGCTAAATTTAAATGATTATAAATATTGCATGCAATTAGTTTAAGAGACAGTTCAGGGGATAGGGTTTGACAGAGGGAGTTATAATTATGGCATAAAACCCTAACAGGTTCATGATCAGCATAATGTAGGTCTAACATATGGATAGACGGATAGGCTTGTAGCACTCCTGGAGTAACATTAACAATATTTGACAACACATTAGAAAACAAAACACGTTGACGAAATCCAATCTAGAAGATTCGTTGGGAACCCTAATAAAGAGAGCTTGTGAATAAGCAGAGCATGGTTCACAGAATCGAATGCCTTGCTGAAGTCAGTAAAAACTACATCCGTCTGCGAACCAATTTGAAAACCACGGTGGATTAGGTTAGAAAACTCAAGAAGGTTAGTCGATGTTGAACGATGTCTGAAAAAACCGTGTTGTGACGGAGATATCAAGCTGCAACAAAGATGTTGCAGTTGCCGGGTGACCAGGAACTCAAGAAGCTTCGGGATGGCGGAAAGCTTTGCGATACCACGATAGTTTTCAATGTTTGATCTTGAACCTTTTTTGTGAAGCGGAATGATATAGGACTCATTCCAAATTACTGGGAGACAAGACTGTTCCAAAGAGAGGTTGAAGAGAAAGGTCAAGGGTTTGCAAAGGGACTTGGCACAGTGTTTTAAGATGCAACTTGGTACCTTATCGGGACCCGCAGAAAACGATATGTCCATAGATGACAAACCTTCCAGAACAACGCTTTCCTCAAAAAAGGGCAGAAAAATGCTGTTAGCTTGAGGTAGCTGGTACGGAGTGGATGCGTTGTAAATATGAGACGAGTACGTTGTTTGGAAAAAGTTAGCGAATAAATTAGCAATACCAACAGCAGAAGCTTCTGTTTTGTTCTGGTAATGAAGGGACGGAGGAAAAACGTTTGACTTGCGCTTAGAGTTAACGAACGAATAGAATTTTTTAGGATCACTACGAAAGTTTCTACTACATTGTGAAAGGTAATGATTATAACACTGACTATTGACGGCAAGGAACAGAGAGCGAGCGGAGGAGTATAGAGCTAAAGCCAACGTGGAGCCCGACTTCTGGTACTTTTTATAGAGCCGGGATTTATTATTTTTTAAGTATGATAAATACTTGGAGAACCAAGGAGGCTTGGACGATATAGGTACAGTGATATCTGGAACAAACGTATTTAGGGCGGAGTAAATAGAACTATAAAACGAGTTAACAGTTGCATCTATGTTCGGTAATGAATAAAGAAACGACCAATCAACACGCGAGAGATGTAGATCTAAATCGATAAAGTTTGTTTTGCGAAAACACTTTATGTGACAAGGAGCCATGGAACTGTCAACACATCCAGATTGTGTACACTCCAGTGATATCAACAAAGTTGGATGGTAAGGATCTTCAGGGAGAGATATTGGACTTGCTCTAGATACCGTAGCAAGAGAACCATCGTTAACAAAAACGAGGTCAAGAAGTCTGTCCCTCATGTTTTTAACGGCATTAATTTGGACAAGGGAACTATCCGTTAGCCCATTGATAAAGTCATTATGGCAATTGGGAAACAACAGGTTAGCGTCATCACAAGGCAGCCAAGAAAGAAATGGGAGGTTAAAGTCCCCCATGACAATAATTCGATCATGGCACCCTAATGCAGAAACAACAATATTAATTGCTGAGAGGTGGTGTAAGTAAAGCTCAGCATCAGACCTGGGAGGAATGTAAGAGCAGGTTAAATAGAAAAATGCGGAGCCAACACGAACTTTGACTGCAACAAATTCAATTCCGTGAATGTTATTAAATGGGAATAACTCAGATGAGAAAACAGATTTAACTGCAATCAGAACCCCACCTGCAAAAGATGGGCGGTCCATTCTATAAATAGTGTAACTATCAATGAAAATTTCATGATCATTGACAGAGGAGTTAAGCCAGGTTTCGGTAAACGCGATGGCATCGAAATCAAAGGACGCGCTATTAGTATGAATTTGACGCAATTTTCCCAGCAAACTGCGAACGTTCTGATAGTGCATGGAAAAATAGTACATCAGTTTTTTGGAGCATGTTCGGTTATTCTTGGATTCGAGTTCGAATCTTTGAGAAGGAACTCATGCACAATTGTGTGCTCAGGCCATATTGACGGTTCTAGAGAACTGGATAGTAAAGAATCAGGGAGAAGAATTTTAAATGATGATATGTTGCGCTTATGTTTAAATGTAAATTTAGTCACAACTATATCAACAGGCGAAGTGTTAAGTTTAGAGGAAAGATGTTGTTTAACATCCTCTGTTGTAGCCTCAGGAATAAGACGAGAAACAAATATTGCTTTCCGAGGGACCACTGCTCTAAGTTGAAGTCCCGAGCGAGATCGAGATGGTGGAGCCACTCCTAAAAGAGATCTCGGTCCAAGGGCAGAGGAATTGGCAGCAATGGTTGTAGCAGGAATTGGAGCAGGAGTTGGCAAGACGTCGTCAG